TACAAATCAATTTAGAAAAAAATAAGGCAAGTGAACAAAATGGAAATGGAAAAAAGCAGATATTCTGCATCAAATTTCTTTCCTATCTTCTCATGGATATACATGAATATACTTTATATGCATATATATATGATCTGATCCAAATAGCTTCTAAAAATGTTATTCAAATTATAAGTATCATGAGAAGAAAGATAATTGGGAAAAGTGGTGTAAAGAAAATATCAGTGGCAGTAGGAAGTTTTTTAAAAAATAAACTCTAAAAAAGGAATAGAATTTATGTTGCACTTAATAATAAGCTTTCAAAAATAAAATTATATTTTTTTATATTTAAAGACATGATTGCACAATTTCTGTGTAACATTTTTTAATAGTGAAAAAGAATATGACGATTATTCCAGGGTGGAGCTGGAGTTGTAGCTCAGTGGTGAAGAGATTGCCTAAGGTATGTGAGGCTCTGGGTTTGATCCTCAGCACCACATAAAAAGTAAATAAATAAAATAAAGGTATTGTGTGCATCTACAACTAAAAAAAATTATTAAAAAAAAGATTGTCCCAGGATCATAAAAAGAGAATGGAAAAACAGGTAACAGCCATAAGAAACTGGGTAGAATAATAGGTATGCCATAATTAGGTTGAAATACATTATTATCAGAAAACAGCTTGAAATGGTGTGGGGAGAGGAGGCATAATTGCAAAAAAGGAAAAGTGGTAGACTGAAGAAAAAGAGACTTAGTGGATAAAAACCAATCAATTTTAACTTTAGATCAGACTTTAGTAACCAAAGGCCAAAAATGAAAACTGTTTACTGACCTGTTTTTGAACTTACATGTAGAAAATTACTTCTCCCTTAGAATTATGTCAGTTTCCAATGTGTAAATATTTAGTTTCAGTTTAAAATTGTATGCAGGAAGGGCAGCATATGCTTTGCCAGAATATGCCTAAATTTACAGTGAACAAGACCCGCCTTACTACACCTCTCACTTTCCCACCATCTCTGAGGATGATGTCTACCCCTGGTCACTCTCTGTAGTGCTTCATCCCTCTACCTGGAAGCACCTGGTGTTCAAGAATTACTCTGTCCTGTTCTTATTCTTGGTACCATCCATTTCTACCTTCCCCTACTAAAATGGTTATAACATTTCCAGGTTATAATAATTCACAGGACATATGGAGGATAATTAAAGTATTGATTCAGAGTGTTTGTCATTCCATGTAAATTACAGAATGGTTGAATTTATGACAACATCAACTTGCAAAGTATTTCAGGAGAAGAAAAGATATTAAAGACAACTGAGATATTGCATGGGATTACACTTTGTATTCTCATCATATAGGTAAAAATCCATATACCTATCTCTGATTATGTGGAGTTTGGACGAAATGGGGGATTTTATTTGTCACACTGAAATTAAAACAATTTGAGATAATATACTATCACTTTTTTGGATAAGAAAATGACATGTAACACTTATATGTATATCTTTATTAAGAACAATTTTTATTGATGTGTATTTAGTTTTTATATGATATATAATATCAGTTTTTTACATTAGGGTTAACTCAAATTTTAAAATATCTTACACCTGAAACAATGTATTTTGTAACAAAACAAATTCTCCTTTTCTTGACTGAAATGGAACCTCTCAATCTTTATAAGATCTTTCTAGGCCTCAAAGAACATTTTTGCCCTCTAAACCTCCAGGATCAGAAAACGCATATATCCAAAAACACCATAAGCCAGCGCATATTTCAGTTGGACATAGTTCAGTATAGTTTTAATCTGTTTACTTTAATGATCTTGTAATTTGGGGGTTATGGCCTAATTACAAATAGTATTCAATTGTTAGATCCTAAATTTTCAAGATCTACTGGAAAAGCTTGGTCATAATACATTCAATAAAACTGAAACTCTGGTTTGATTAAGGAACTCTGTCTTGTAAGTCCCACCCAATTCTCAGTAACCTGTGTTCTCTCCTGGAGCCAAGACCTTTCACAAGAAAAAAGCAACTTATGCTCCTACACAAGGAGGAATGTGAATGCAGATCAAGCACTACATTCAAGGTGCCACTTGGTCCCCAACATAGTAAAAGGGAAGAACAAACAGAAAGCTGAGGTTACACATTTTCCCTGCTATTATTATTCTGTAGGAGTATTGGTTTTCTGAGGAATGTTTACTCTTATCAAGGCAAAAGAAATTTATGAAATGTTTACATTTTGTGTCTAGTGGAGTAGAGCAGATTGTGGTAGTTTTCAAAACTCTTTCAATCTCTCAATTTAGTATTCAGTATTCAATGAAAAAAACAAAAACAGAAGCAAATGTTGAAGTATATATGAATACTTTCAGCAATTAAGGCTATTCTGCTTAGTAAAATTTCTCTGAGGCATAATCGACTGATGAAATCGATGACATTTTCAACTAATTGTTTCAGAGACTTTCTGAAAAGTAAGGAATAAAATAGGAATCCTATGTCCACTGGAAATTCATGAAATTTTTCTTATTGGCTTACTATCTTACATGTGGTCTGATGGCTATTATGAGGCTGACCTTGTTATCTGTTAGGAATACAGCCAGATAAAGAGTTGTTTCTTCTAAAACATGGATGTGCTATTGCTCAATTCACCAGGAGGAACTGATATCACATTTAAACACACATTGAAGAAAAACATAAAATACAAGTGAAACAAGCCAGCTAGAATTGATTATGCAAATGAAGAATTTAAATCACTCTTATTGAATAATCATGTATACTGTGCTGCACTCCATTTTAATAATATTTCAAATTCTACTTTGTAATCATTTAAACAACTCAATTTAACTTGGCCTTAATTCTTCATTTTGAAAAATTATTTAAAAATAAAATAAATCTTCCTTACATAGTAGATGATATCTACATAAAACTTCAGCAAACAGTATGTAATGTAAAACATTAAAAGCATTCCCATAAAATAAGACAGACAAAAACATTTACTTAAGGGAAAAGAAAGTTTGCTACGATTGGTAATATTCACATTCTTTTAGAACATTTTGCAAATGTAATAATACTTTATTTTCAACTTCCAATTATTGAATTTATATGTGCAAGAAACTGATATCTGCCTGGTTCTAAATGTAGCCAAATTATGCTATGTACTTGTATGAATATACCACAATGAATGCACTAATAAAAACATAAAATAAATAAATAAATAAAAAAGCACATACATACATAAAGTTTTTTTTTTTTAATCACTAGATATGAGTAGGGATGTAATTCTGGGAGAGTACTTGCCTTGCACCACATGAAAGGCTTTGAGTTTAATCCCCAGTATTGAGGGGGGGGGAAGTGGTTGGATATAAGGTTTATGAGCTAACAAGCAATAACATATTAGAATATATAACTAAGAAAAAGGGTGGGCTGGGGATGTAGCTCAAGCGGTAGCGTGCTCGCCTGGCATGCGTGGGGCACTGGGTTCGATCCTCAGCACCACATAAAAAATAAAAAGTAAAGATGTGTGTCCACCAAAAACTAAAAAATAAATATTAAAAAATTCTCTCTCTCTCTCTCTCTTTCTCTCTCTCTCTCCCAAATAAGGTACAATATTTTAAAACATATTAACTTTTTAAAGAAAAATTCCTAAAGAACATAACTGAAATAACTTTTCAAATAACTTTAAATAAATTTTAAATAATTTTTTAAAAAAAATTCCTAAAGAACATAACTGAAAAAAAAATCTGAATTTATTTTCTAGATTGGAAAAACCTCAAAGGAGAAAAGTTCTGTAACATTTGCTAATACTCTTCAGGGGCTAGGTACTATATTGTAGGCTCTCAATCAAAATGTTTTGGGTAAGTAAAAAGTTTGGGGAAATTATGAATGATATGTTTTTCAATTGACATTGTAATGTTGCTCAGATACCTATCACATATCTAGTTACCTATCATGAATTACGAAAGCAAACTTCACTGAGGATAAAAATTTTAATCTATTGGTAATTATAGGTAGAATTAAATTTAATTATAGGGACTGGGGTTGAGGCTCAGTGGTAAAGCACTTGCTTCGCACGGATGAGGCACTGGGTTTGATTCTCAGCACCATATAAAAATAAAAATAAATATAAAAATAAATAAATGAAGATATTGTGTCCATCTATGACTAAAAAGATTTTTTTTAATTTAATTATAAATTTAGAATTTGTTTTACTAGTATCAGAAAAAAAAATCCTAGTGCTCACATTTACTAATCCAAAAGACTGCTCTTAGACAACATACCTTATAGATAACCATAGGAAAAAAGAAACTAAAATGAAAAAGTTAAATGTGACAAATATTGTATATTCAATTGCATTTAAAACTGATAGGGTTTTCTCATTTTAATAATACAAGTAATGCTTTTCTACAAGACTTTTAAGATCATGGTAATATCATTTGTAAATTATTATTTTTTAGGAAGAGTTAAAATTATATCTGAAATAAATCTAATCATTATTGATTTGAAGGCTTTCTTTGATTATGTATATATGCACATTATCTCTTACTACTTTCACATAAAGCATATTGATAAAACTTGTAAACAAAAAGAGTAGATTGTATCTTATGTTAATTACATGGGAAATGATCATACCAGATTAGTTTTCAGAAACACTTATTGAAATAGTTTCTTAAATTATACATGAAATAAAATTATGAATAGTCAGGTATGCCATTCGAATAAGGTAATTACATTTTTAGAAAATATTTATTTAGTTGTAGATGAACACACAGTATCTTTATTTGTTTTTATGTGGTGCTGAGGATTGAACCCAGTGCCTCACACATGCAAGGCAAGCACTTTACCACTGAGCTACAGCCCCAGCCCAGGTAATTACATTTTTAATGTATAAAATGTCAAAAGCCAAAAACTGAGCTACAGACTACTAATTAAATCACATTTTCTAGACTAAATTTTAATTATGTGAAAACAACATCAGCAAATGTTTCCTAATACACTTATGAGGAAAAAGCTTTTTTGTTTTCATCTTACCTTCTGCTGTACAAACAGTCCACAATATCAACCAAATAATCTTTGCAGGCAATCTCATGTTTTGAATCTTTTAAGGGCACATTTATTAGCTGAGAGTGCTCACAGGGTCCAGTTCACCTGTGCTAAAAATCACAATCAGGGCAGGAAAGTACTTGCTTCTAAAGGAAGTTGAAAGAGCTTGGGAAATAGGGGTTACTGGATGCTCCACCCATCAGAAACTTTCGCAAAGCAAAGAAGGAGAAAAAAAAAAAAAAAACAAGAAAAAAACCCCCCAAACCTACTAAACCTACTAATCCTAGCATCACCAGAACTTGATCAGGATTCTTACTGCACTCCCACTGAATTCTAATGCTGTGACCTCTCTTTGATTTGTTCTGGTAAATGAAGGCATGTTCTCTATTGGGAACAAGCTCAGGTCTCCTGGAATGTAGAAGCAGCAGGGGGTTATCGCCTCCTGGGATTTCATAAACTCTCCAGTAATCCAACTCTGTTCAGTTCTATTGCATGTAAACCACAGAACAGGAAGTAATGTAATAATGTCTTTTTAAAACCATTTACAGAACTTCAGTTGAGGCAGTGGTTTCTCAATCAACTCCCAGACAACATAAGCAAACAACATAGTCCTATCTGATAAGGGGAGCTTGCTTTACCAGCAATTTGTGAAATCAGTCTTTAAAGACTTTTTAATATGCATGCGTGAAGCAACTGGTTCACTCTGACATAAATGAGTTTAATCATTCAAGAAAAATTGAAATGTTGTTTTTTAAAAAACTTGATAGTGAAGTATAATATGCATAAAGAGAATAAGAGCAAATGATTTGCTTAATATTAATGTAAAAACACACAACCACCATCAAGGTCAAATCACTGAACTTCACTATCTCCCGAATCAATACTGCCTTTCAGTCAGTGCCCCTTGCCCTCTGTCCTCCTGGCCCTCCATATGGGGTGAACACTATCAGGATCTCTAAGAACATGGGATATATTTACCTGGTTTTAGTACTTTATATAAATGGAAAATAAGCTATTTGCTCTTGTGTTTAGTCTTTCACAATGTTTGGGATAGTCAACTGCATTGTTGGATATAGTTACAGATTGTTAATTCTTAATTCTATATAATATCTATTGTTTGAAATATTTACCATTTTTAATTTATTGGTATGTTTGATAATGAGTCTGTGGCTAGATTCTAGTTTGGAGCTAACAGAAATAGTATTGCTATGAACATTAAATTATATGGGTTTTGGCAACATTGTGTCCACATTTCCAGGGAATACCTAGTTAGGAGTGAACCATTAGGCCACAACTTATGTTTAGGTGTGGTAGATAATATCAGACAGTTTTCCAAACTGGTTATACGAACTGGCATTCCCCTCATTCAATCTTTGTAATTTTAGCTTTTTTGGTGACCATAAAGCAACAATTCTCTATAAAAGTGGTCAGTGCATGCTCTTGCTCTCTCCCTTCCTGTGGACCCTTAAGGTCAGAGGAGCCATCACAGGGACCCCAATGAAAAAGGTATTTGTGTCTCTTGTGTGGTTATTTCATGCAGCCCAATTAGGCCAGTTCAAGTGGAGTAACCCTTGAGCCTTTTACTCATGAGAACAGAAACCTGGCACATCACGCTAGTAATAATGTACCTTTTTAATATACAATTCAACAAAAAGGCATCTGAAACTATATTAGATAGTCTAAGGGAATTAAAATTATTTACACATTCCTTCTTAAAAACAATTTTAAAGTATACTTCAAAATTTAATTTTATAGAAATGTTGTTGTTTGAGAATAAACCCACACCATAGTTTCAATAAACTAAAGGAGCAAACTTTTAACTACTTGGGAACTTTCTTAATAATGTAGAGATTTCCTTTTTCTCAGTAATGCAAATGATTACAGCTTAATTTGAAGCCAAGGTGGTAAAGATCCTTTTAGGTTACATATTATAACTATTTTTAATTCTTTATAGATAAAGTCCACATTCCTTGAAGGCTATGATGCTATGTTTTTATGCACACACACACACACACACACACACAAAGATCAAACAGCTGAACAAAATAGACAATTATACTTTTCTTCATTGTTATCTTGAGTCTTGTTTCAGCAGCGGTCCAAAGTCAGGATAATTGCAATAATTTATTTTATGGAACAGAAGGGTAAGGATGACTATTTTTATATGATATCTTGAAATGGTTACCACATTTGATTTTAGAAAAGAATAGAAAAAATATTGGCTATGTAAAGGCAATTGCTACAATGAGATTTGTAATAGATACCTTTTTTGATTCATAAAAATTGTTGTATACATTAAATATGTACCTTTTTACATGTCAATCATACCTTGATAAAGTGATTTTAAAAAAGATAAACAAGTTCAAAGTCAGTTGGAATGTATCCTTGAGAAAATAATGCTTGCTCTGGTTGTTTCAATCCCTCTTCTAGCAGTAATAGCCTGCACAGTACAGGCTTACAGGTTGGATGTAGCTTGTCAGAAGTATTTGTCTAGTGTTCATGTTATTTTAAGATTGAACTACCCATTGACCTTAGTAACATGAAGTGAAATTGTATCCTGATTCTTTGCACACAGAGCTGACTGCAAGAAAATCTGAGTTCGATTACACAGCAGGAAAAGAAAAGGATGAAAAGAAAAAAAAATACCTGTCAATACGAACTTGACTGTGAAGATAGATGTATGTGATATTGGTTAAAATACACTGAGTAAGAAATTTCTAAAATAAGAGGAAATTTGTGAGGTCAGGGTCACTAATTTTTATTTTGAAAAGATATTTTTAAATTATTGTTTCAGTATATTATTTTCTCAAAACCTCAGTAGTATCTAAAGGAATATATTTTATCACAACCTTGTAAAATCACTTAGTATAAAACTTAAATAATTTAATATGAGAGATAAACATTTTTTTGTTTTGATCACTTAAATTTTTTTGAAATAATGGGCTATAATTTTAGCATTAATTTAATCACCCACACACTTTCCCAGTTATTTGTAATCTAGCTTGATTCCCTTTGTTCCTAGAAAACAATTATCTTAAAATGCCTCTAGTATGTCCTGTAATTATTCAGTTCTTCTTATTATTCCTTTTTTGGCAGTATTGGGTAATGAAACCAGGTGTGTTCTATCACTAAGCTACAAGCCCCACCTCTGCAAGCCCTTTTTATATTATATTGAGACAGGGTCTCACTGAATTGCTTAGGCTGGGTTCAAACTTTTAATCCTCCTGCTTCAGCTTCCCTAGTACCTGGGATTACAGGTGTGGACTACTCTACCCAGCTCTCATTCAGTTCTTTTCAATGTATTAGTTTCTTAGTGCTGCTGTAACAAAATACCACAAGTTAGATCGTTTTCTCAGAATGGTGGAGTCTCAAGTCAAGGTATCCCTAGAGTTTTTCTACCTCCATAACTAATGAGGAAGAATCCTTTAGTGCCTTTTCTCAATTTATTGTTGTAATTCCTTAAAGTTCCCTGGATTGCGCAACATCATTTCCATCTCTCCTTATGTGACCACATGGCCTTCTTCAATGTGGGTAGCTGTTTCTTTTTCTAAATCTCCCTCTTCTTTCTTTTATAGAGATACCTAATTCATTATAACATAACATAATCATAACTTGAAGGAAATTATATATATATATATATATATATATATATATATATACATATACATATATATATAGAGAGAGAGAGAGTGCATTTTTGCAAATATATATATTTACATGTATAATTATAAAATATAGATTTTAAATAAGTCCACGTTCACTGTTACTGTGGGTTAGGACTCGAACATGATTTTTGGGGGGGCACAGAATTCATCCCATAACATTCAGTCCTGAACTTTTCATAGTCTTTTTGATGTAGTTGACACTACTGACATTTTCTCTTTAAACTTTTCCTTCTGTCTTCCACAATACTGACATTTCCTGTTCATATTATTCTCTAATCTTTGGTAACTATATTTTCTTGATTTCTTTGTCTTCTTGCAGTCATTTCCATTGCATTCATATAACATTGCCTTTAGTTATTTTTCCTCCATAGTCTCTGTCTCTGTGCATTTGATAAGCACATATCAGCAACTATATATGCTGTGTTTGATGGGCATTGTCTGTGTAGAGGAAAATTTATCATGCTTCCTGACCTAGGAACTTAAAGTAAAACAGAGTGACACATATAAATATACCAATAAGTGCATCACTGAGCTAAAAAGAAAACAAATAATGGAAAAAGAAAGACTTATATAAATAGATAAGAACCTCACATGGGGAAAATGGGTAAATGTTATATCAGCTATTTCACTGATATGACTGAAGTACCTGACTAGAACAATTTTAGGAGAGGAAAAATTTATTTGGAGGCTCACAGTTTCAGAGGTGCTAGTCCATTGAAGGCTGGCTTCATTCCCCAGGGCTTGAGGTGAGGCAAATCATCATGGTGGAAGAGCATGACAGAGGGAAACAGCTCACATTTGATCAAAAAGCAAAGAGAGACACTTCACTCTCCAGATACAAAATACATACCCCATAGCCATGCCTCCAATGAACCACTTCTGTTGAGAGCCACAGCCGAGTCGGGGTGGTGCCTGGCATTTTGCCAGAAGGATTGGTTGAGAGGTGACGCCAGCGAGCCATTAAGATGATGATAATTAAGTTAAGCTGTGTATAATTGCTGTGACTGGATGATGTTTGAACCTACAAGTGTGGCATTTGGTGGCCCATATGGGGAATGTACCTGCGACCTTGGTGTTATTAGCACCAAATGCCGCAGCCTGGCTGGGCACAAATAACCAAGTCGCCACAAGGCACTTGTTGGTTCAAACAGGAACTACTTTATTGCCCAAACTCTCACAGGCACTCCACAGGCTCTCCCCGGGCTCCAGGAGAACTCAACAGGGACTCCGGGAGAACTCAAAAGTAGCAGGAGCTGAGGCAGCAGGACCCACCCTATTGCCGGACAGCAGGGGCCCATATACAACTGAATACACAGCTTGCCCCAATCCAGCATCATCCAGTCACAGCAATTATACACAGCTTAACTTAATTATCATCATCTTAATGTCTCACTAGGGTCACCTCTCAACCACTCCTTCTGGCAAAATGCCAGGAGCCACCCCGACTCAGCTGTGGCTCTCAACACACTTCCTCCAGCCAAACCCCACCTGCATCCAGTCACCCCTCGGTTAATCCCATCAAGACCTAATTCGCAGATTAGGTTAAAGCTATAACCCAA